GAAGTTGAAGAGGCTCTCACCCCACTTGCAACCGACACGGCTGAGGATATTGTCCCTGCTATGAATGTCGATGAACAGACTGACAGCGCAGAGCTGGTTGCCGAAGACAGTACTGAAGAAGTCGCATCCGACGAACAGATCACTGAACCTTCGTTCACTAGGGATCTCGCCGAGTCCGCGTCGCTGATAGAGGAACCAGCTATATCAGAATCTGCTCCATTCGACCCGAAACAGAGCAGTTAGACATCGCGGAGGAATCCCCACTGGAGCAAACGGTTGAGGAGACAGAGGTAGAAGTGCCCATTGCGGAGAACGATGAGGAACTAGCCCCCATTGCTCACGACGAACCAATTGACGCAGCTACAGAGAGTGTAGTTGACGAGCAATCGGATGCCGCACCGGAAGATGAATCGATCTTTGTCGAGAAGGATACAGTAGCCCCTATCTCGAAGATGAATCGACGGAGGAAATACCTGTCCAAGCTGAAGAAGAGATCAACGTCGCTCCGGAGCCGCTTGAAATTGGTGAGCCGATCTTTGGTGATACAGAGTGTGATGTTGTTGCTGACATCAAGGACAGACGCAACGGAGATTCCTTTGGAACCAGTCTCGAACGACGATGCCAATGTGGAGGATGATGCTGGAGATGAAAATCCAATTGTCGTTGTAACGGACGAGAAGGATGAAGTTGCGCAATCTGTTGATGAAGACGCCGTCGAGTCTTCGCAGCAAGTTCCAGCGGCAACTGAAGTGGAGGCTGCAGACGTTTCGGTGGATGAAGCCGTCCCTGCAGAAAGCACAGAGAGCAGTGTCCCTGAGGAAAATACTGCTGACCTCACTCCAGAGCCTCTCTCCCAAAGTGCTAGAGATGTCGATGGTGATCTTGTTACTACTATCCCGTTCGACTCTGAGCCCACTGAACCGCAAAGTCTTTCAGACCTAGCTCCCGAAGCGGAGAACGTCGTGACCGACTCCCTTCCCACTGGAGACGTTCCTCCAGCGTCTGAAACGGATACAGACGTTTCTGAGGATCTTAATGAGCCTTCTAGCGAAATCCAATCCGAGGAGACCTCAAATCTCAGTGTCAACACTGAAATCGAGCGACCCAAGTCTCCGTGGACTCCTTCATACAGTGTTATCAATCAAGGACCCAATGTCACTGTAGAAGAAGAAGACATCCCAGAGATTGAGCAGTTGCCTCCTGTCACTGGACGCAGAGTCTCAAGTTCCAGCAGTCAACATTATACCAGAAGAATCCGAGGCTACCGCTATGAACGTAAGTTTGGAACGCTATGATTTTGGATTGTTGCTGAGAAAATAATTACTTACAGTCCGAAGAAACAAAGATCCCGTCTCGACCATCTTCGCCTTGGGTGCCCTCGTATTCCGTGTCTGTTCAAGGAAGTCCCTCTGTTTCTGCTCATGCCAGTCCCGTACTCGCAGCCAACGACCTTCCCAAGACTGAAGGTGATGATCGGGTCTCCGATCATATAGAAGAATCAGTTTCCGCACCTAGCGAGACGTTGACAGAGACTGCCATTGAAGAAACTGAGCTTGCTACACCTTCCTCAGATCTGATCACCGAGACTCAAGAGGAAATTGTAGACTCTGTTCCCGAGGAATCTCTGCCTAGTGAACCGCCTACCACTTCTGCTCCTTTAGACGAGGTCATTATCAAGGAAGAAGATATTGAGGTTCCTCTGCACGCACCGACCGAATCGATTGAAAGCGTCGCCGCAGCCCAAGAAGATCAACAGCCTCACCCTAGTGAACCACCTTCCTTCTCCGCCCCCGAAGTCACTATCAAAGAAGAAGAAGTCGAGGTTCCTCTATATGCACCCACCGAATCGATTGTAGCTCAAGAAGATCAATTGGCTGAAGAAACCACGCCATCTAGTGGAGAACCACTGGTTGAACATGAAACGGTAGTTGAGCATTCTGAAAAGGTATGTGTTGGGTACTCTAAATGTCACCTTCATAATCTGATGGTGTTTTCTTTGGACAGCCTGGAAGGCAGGAAACGGTGCGTTGATAACATTTCCCTGAGTCTCACTTTATTAACTGACAACGTGTTCTATGCATGTTTCAAGGACACGCCAGCCGTGGATGTAGTATCTGATGAGCAAGCATCTGCCGTCACCGATCCTTCACTCGAATCCAAGAATACTGCAACTCTTTCTCCTTCAGAATTTGCTACTGGAATAGAGAGGCCTAGATCGCCATGGGGTTCGTATGAGGTCATGAATCAGTCGGGTTCCAAGACTCCTTTGGAAGAGCCAGAGCTTGCTGAAGAGGTAGTAGAGATTCCCGCGTCATTCATTACCGACGAGCCTGCAACAGAAAGCATCGACAAACCTGCTTCTGAGCAGAATCAGGACATTCAAGACACTCCTGCACCCATAGTCGCCGTAGATGACTCCAAGGTATGCCTTGCGTCCCCTCAAGTCGATCTTGCTCATTAACACCCATCAGTTGACTGTGGACACCAGTAGCACTGATCTTCCGGAACGACCTAAATCGCCTTGGACGCCGTCGTACTCAGTGCGCAGGCAGGGATCTGGTGTGTTCAATGAGCAGAAGGACGACGCGAAAGTGGAATCTGGTGCTGAGAGCTTGACTGTAAGTCATATTATATACATTTCTCCCGCTAAATTGGCTAAGACTGTGCTTAAGGATGCTCCTACTAAGGAGGAAGTTCCCGCTACAAAACTAGTCATTCGGACTGGTGCTGAGGATATACAATCCGTTCAAGCTACTTCTGAAGCGTTCCCGTCTACGGAAGACCCTGAGTAACTAGTCTTTTCCACTGACAGCTCTGCGATATGCTGATCCTGTTATTTCCAGATCTCCTGGCTCTCTTGACACTGTGGGAGATTCGCTATCAGTGGCCAAGGATCGGAAGAGACTTGAATCCACCGCCTCGTCGTTGTTTTTCCCAGGTGGTTGGTTCTCGCCACGACCTCCGGCTGGAAGGGCTTCTTTGGACAATGCTCAAGGAGAGTTCACACCTTCTAAGTCCCCAGTGGATGAAGTCCCTTCCATTGAACTGGAGTCTGCTCCTACCTCAGCAACTGCTGAAAGTGATGATAGCAAGGAGAAGAAGGGAAAATGGTGTGTTATAATGTGAATGGGGATTTAATATTGCAACATCTATCTATTACTCAAGTTATGACCGTAACGTCTTTGCTCGATTTCTCTTCACTGCTCTTCATTTAATCGGATTAAAATTTGAATAATCTTGCTAGTATTTCTTACACGTAGTTGCTTCGTATGGATCGTACATAGTGCATGTGAGGCTGGAGTCTACTCTCCGCCCTTCTTCTTCTTTTCTTCAACTATTTCGACGTTGTCTACTGGTATGCCTTTGAGAAGACCTACCTCTCCTTCGATCATTTCGAGGACTTCGTCGCTCACATCACCCTGGACGACAATCTCCTCCAAACCTTGGGGATTCTTTGTAACGGAGGCACCTGTAGCGAATTTCGACGCAAACTGCTTGGCAGCTTTTTTGAGATCAATGCCAAATGCTTCGAGTCCATGTATGGAGGTTACATGTTTTCTCTTGTTGCGCTCGATTCGTTTGATAGTGATCTATTATAAGTTTAGATCTTGAATGCGATGAAAAGACTTGATAACGAACCTGCGAAGCCATTTTCTTCTTTAACGCAGCATCAGCTTTCGCTTCGGCTTTAGCTTCTTTCTTGGCCGTATCCTTCTCCAGCTTTGTCTGCGCCTCCAAGCTTAATGTTCCTATCTTTGCTTGTAAAGCCTCTGTGAACAACGATCAGCAAAATCGTTGTTGGTCGAACGCGCAAGATCGTACCTTCAGAATAGTACTTGTTATAAGCCTCTAGATGATTATCATGTAACCATTCTTTACATCGAGTCAGACTGGCTCCAAACTCGCAGTATTCTAGTGGAAATGAGCAGACTAAAGGCCGATTCCTCAGTCTCGACGGGTTTGAAATGTGACTGAAGCACTCAGACCTCCGCAATACAGGACTTGGACCGGAGGCTTCGGTTCTGGAGGAGGTGGTCCCTCTGGCTCCTCCGAGACCACTGGTGCTGGATCTGGAGCAGATTTGTCGCCCTTGTCGCGATTCTTTTTAGCAGGCATGGGAGTTAAAGACAAGTTAAGCGCTCAGTCCTCCTTCGTTATTCTCCTCCACCATGTCGCACTGATTGGTTCGATTTGGGTTAAGTACTTTCTAACCCATCTAGAGCAACATCCGCTTTGCCTCCTACAAAGTTTAGGGACCAACCTCTCCCCGGATCTGAAGGACTTTCATCGGAATCTTTTGGGGAACACTACCAGTGAAACTGACCTATGTATCGCCGAATCCAAGCGGCTCAAGGCGTCGTTATACTAGGAGTCCCTGGCATAGAGTCGCTTCAGATGCACGCAGCTGAGAATGATTACCATTGAGGTAAATTGATGTTCTCGTTGTCTTATTCAGCGTCTCTGCGTCTGCAGCACGGTCGCCTGAAACAACAACCAAATCTGTGTCTTCACTCATCGGGGCGTTTATTGCATTCGTTTTTCAAATCGAGACTTCGGCCTTCTAGACGCTACAAAGACTAGAACAAGCAGTTCAATGGAAGAGGCCGCAGTTTCGCTTGTTATCGTCCAAGCAGCGATATCATGATAACGTTGCTTATGCCACCTTCGTCGAGATTTATTTCAATCGGGCCAATGTAGAACTCAATTTGCTTATACACTCACAAACTTGCCAGACAAGCCCGCCTTTCATAACGCAGAAAAATGCACGGACTAGTATCCGTCAGTTATTCTTTATTCTGCGTGGCTTCGTGATTGCATACGCACACGAAATTTTTTATGTTTATCATTCCTAGAGGATCGGATTTCAAGACTGGTTGAAGCACTTCGAATTTGACGTACTCGAGGTGGATTTCAGTTGTCTAGGTTGCTTTTCGACCTACTAGTCTGAATGGATACTGGCGATGCTGTATCATATTCAATATACATTCCAATCTCAACAACCGACTTTAGCTCAGTTGGAAGAGCACAAGACTGTAATTGGTAGCAACGTTCATCTTGGGGTCGCCTGTTCGAACCAGGCAAGTCGGATATTCCGCTATTACGTTGTTTTTTCCTCACTTTTTGAGCGATTCGATTTTTGATTTTTGATTTTAATACAGCAAATAGAATACATAAATTTAAGAGTAGATAGTGCTAGTGCGTGTATTAATGCTTTAGTTCGACAACAACGTTTACAGTCATAAGAGCGACATAACATGCTATGAGGAAAATCCCCCATTTCCGAGTCAAAAAGTACCCGTTGAGAGGTACTACTACCATTGTCAATGCTAGCAACGCAAGCAAGCCCACGGTGCTAACAAACAAGGTTGACCCGAAGTGTAGTGGGTAAGGCTCAGAAGTTTGAGAAATGATGTAGGATCCGGAGATTCCAATACCAAGCAGGATGTTGAGCATAGGGCCTCCGAAGCAAGCAGAGAAGCCCATAATCGGAGCGAATACCTAGGAATTTTATTAGTTGACTCGCTAACAACAAAAAGTGTTGGTCACTTACAGCTATACTCATATTGGCTACTAGGTCCGCAAGGGAATTGCCAACAGCAAATATGGTTAGGCCGATGATAGCATCGGAAAGCCCAAAGACGAAACCAAATGTCTGAACAGGACAGTCAATCTTACGAGCGCACTAATGGAACATTGAAAATTGACCAACCTGAAGCACTTGCACAACTTCGTCTGCGATAGCCATAATCCATACGATTGCAACAAAGAATCCCATGAAGCATCGAGCCATCGTAAAGGCCCCATTCTCGCCTCGATCAGCAAACACAACGATAAGGGTGGCCACAGCAACGCCCGCTACAGCTACGGCTACGAATAGCCACACTTGATGTGCATGTCCACCTATGGCTTCGTCATTATCTCTGATCTAAAGGAAACCAATGAAATAAACGCACTGAAAAGTACTGCGACACAGAACAATGGTCCGAGCACGGCTTGGACAGCAGTTAACCACTTGTTGAACCCGATGCCATGCAGTTCGTCTTCAACCTCTTCCTCAGCTATCAGCACTCTCTCAATCCCTTCCTCCTCAAAATCTATGAGACTATGGCTACTGTTGAGCTTTTCTCGAGGGCTATGGGCTGGCACATACGGTGTCACTACAACAGGAAGAGTAAGCGTTAAAAGAGTTACTGCTGGTGCCGCAAAGACTGAAGCGATTTGACCTAATAGGCTCTGGCTCCGGAATCGATGCAATGTTGGGAAAAGAATATGGTAGCAAGCACCGAGCAAGTGTTTTGCTTTCTGCCACCTTGTGTAAGGTACGTGTGTGTAATTTTGAGATTCCGTGTCGCTTTCGGTCCCCGTTGGAGAGGCAGGTGTGTGCGATATCGTAGGGATGGAAGAGGACATTGATGCCGGAGTATCATCGAAATAGCCACTAGCCGTTAGGCCAGGAGAACCGGGATCATGAGACTCATTTTGGGTTGAGGTTACAAGGACCTGAGGGGTGGGTCGCTCGTCGAGAGCCAGCGCAGCATCCCATGGATCTCGGTCATGATCGTGCGTCGCTGGCGTTCGCGGTCGAGATCTCGTTCGGGCGCGGTGGTGGTAGTGTCCACCGGCATACGGAGTGACTGGGCTGTCAAAAATATTTAGAGAGGAGCTAGAACCTTCGTTTCTCAGTGATGCAACGACTTGACGGAACTCAAGTGCGCCCACTAGCGAGAAAGAAGGCATTTGGGCAAAGTGGTGATGGGGATGTGGGGTCGTAGAACTAAAGGTGGGGGATGGAGATCGGGAGTGCGCGCGTATCGGCAGTTCTGTTTGGATACGAGGAGGACCTGGAGTAGAGAGTGCGCGGCTTCTGGTCGCATTTGAAGGTACGGGAAGGGTATTTTCAGGTGTAGCTGAAGCTTTTAAATGAATTAAATGAAATATGAGCATGAACAGAATACTTACGATCATCTCTATATGGTACATCAAAGAAAGCAGGCGAAGGTGGTTCGTCGTCTCGATATTCGGCACGAACCAATTCTTCATGCTCTCTGCGTCTCTGGCGCCTCTTAGCCCACCAAGAACCAATGACCACGACGGAGACATAAATCACATATAGCACCACCATAGTAGCAGCCTCCCATGGATGGATTAAACCGTCCCACAAGATAACTAGAAGAAGGCCAACAGCTATCGAAAAGAATCCAACATCGCGCAAAAAAGGAACAGGATTGACATGGAATGGCTTGATGATACATATCGACCCAACGACGCAGGATACGATGAACTGAAGCGGCTCCCAAAAGTTCTCCGACCGCGAGACTGCCAGAATTGGCACGCATTGCAGAGAACGTGGAAAAGACATCAGGACTTCCGTTTCCGAAAGCTAAGAATGTTACACCGGCAACATTTTCGTCCAGACCGAGAAGTTGGGCAAGGGTTGCGAGATTGGGAGTGAAGAAATCGGAAGCACTAATGCCCAATGTTGAAAAGAGAAATATAAGCCAGACGATTAGGCCTATGAATACGGATGGACGCAAAGGTCCCTCGGCGCAGAAATAAAAACGGAGGTATTGTAGGGAAAGGAAGGTATGAGATCCTTCGCAGGCCGCGGAAACATGAGCGCATTGCTGATCTACAGGAAATTCAAGAGGAATGCACTGTATTTGGTCCGTTAAAAGATTATAGACGGATGATAGGTCTCGCACCTCTCCTTCCGACGACCATTCCTCTACAAATCGTTTCACAAGACTGCTTTCACCTCCTGTATGAAGCTGCCCGTATCTTCCTCGAGACCAGATAAAACATTGAACCAAGAAAACAACGGCGAATATTAATGTGAACGAACGAGGAGCCATGGATGTAGAAGGGACTCAAGATGCATGCGATCACGGTACGGAATAGCCGCTCTAAATCAGGCATGACGCTTTCTATACTGGGATTAGCTTCATTCATTGATGGTTCTCTCGTGTAGATGTTCTCTCGTGTAGGTAGGGCTGTAGTGCGTTGACGAGCAGCACCGGAGCTTGCAACTATACCACATGTTGGCCATATGTACTTCATTTAATTTTCGTTTAATCCGCCTCATGATATCACAGTTGTCTCCGTAGGCAGAGTCTCGCAAGCAAGCTTGCTAATAATATCACAGTAGGATGATACTACATACTATACAGTTTGTCTTCTAGCGGTTAAATCATACACTTATCATAGGCATCGGTCGGTGAAGTTCTGTCTGTGATTTATATTCAATCCAGATAGGGATTTCATTTCATGAACCACGACTTACCTCCGAGTCGCTCGAAGCCGCAGAAGCTCCTCTTCCTCTACTATTTCCCAGGAGACGCCATGAACTAGAAGAAAATGTCAGCAACGGTTTCTTCACTCACAAGGATGACTTCAATGATAGCGACAACTCTGAATGGTATCAAGTGAGCAGAGATCTAGATAAGAAATGGGAAAGACGTACGAAGTCAATACACAACGATTAATAGCATAAACTATCAGTTTGCGGATGAGAGAATTGTTGTTCTCGAACTCCGATCTATTTTGACGCAAAAGCACGACTAGCGGAGTGCCAAACAATATAACACAGTTGTACTTGAAACGCAGTTTGCAAATGGTTGTTATTCACTGTCAAACGTCACTCACAGTGACTTCGTCCAGATGAGAGAATTCTTTCCTGAGTGAGCTGATAACATAAATCAGTAAACGGAATAAAGAAAAGGAGACGATTTCCTCACAATTGTATAACAGTGTCTGCTCAGTACGAACTAGCCAACCGTAACAGAAATCTGACATTCTTCACCTAGTATTCCAATACTGCGAAGTACTGTAGATATCAGGTCACCACATATTCGTAATTTTCTCCTTACCGAAATGCCCCAACACAATGCATGCTACAAAGGACGAAAGATACCACTTTTACTTGTTGGATCTCACTTGATTATTGTTGAAGAATTGTATAAGTATATAATAGGAACGAACGAAAGGCGCTCAGAAACCGAACGGCGCCTATTGAAAATAAGCGCTTCTTCCACTTTGTTTCCGTTCTCCCGTTCTCGATCCTCCTGAGTCCTCCTCCTTGAATTCTATGTGATTTTTCTTCCAGATATATTCAATTCTTTTGATTGGCTGCATTGCAGAGTATGCCATCTGGACTCGAAAGAGATGGACTTGACCTGCTGGCATCTTCGGTTCCACTAAAAGATATTCGCTATGTTCTGTATGAAGGGGATTATTCTGCAATTTGGAATCTTAAGAGGGTGGCTGAGGATGCAGACTCACTCTGGACAATCCAAGTCGTCTCTTCAAGTGTCCATCGATTCTGGTTATTTGACATGGGCTCTGGCTTCTCTGTTCACGATGACCAGCTACAAAAAGTCGCAGAATCCACGATAATTCTCCGAAATCTTCATCCTACCCCGCCACCTCACCTCCGCAGACCCTGGAACGCTTTCATCGACGCCGTTCGTGCGAGCATCATTCGTTCCGCTAATCAATGCAGCATCGCCCATACCAGCAGATGGGCAGTTGCATTGAAAAATGGATTTATTCTGGCAAACAACCTGCATGCAGACGAGTGGCTCACATCCGGCTGGGAACACGTTAGATCTTTGCTCTACGTTCATCTACAGATTCATCCCGTCTTGAATACAGAGCAGCAGCAACTCATCGTCCATCCTACAATCACTCAAACCCCGTACCATCTTCTTGCTATACCCCCGTTGCAGGTACCGCCTTGACTTGTCTACCCTACGGTACCCCTGCCTACTTTGTCGCACCATATAGTGGTCCGACGTCTTCACTCAATGCCCAGTTTCGTGATGCTCTGCGGGGACTGGGCGTTGACGGATGGGAGGACCGAGCCGCGTCATATGCCATTGTCTACATTCCGGTTGAAACGCATGGTCGTGGCATCACAATCATCTACCCCTCGAGACTCGTTTTGACCCTTCCTCCTATCCATCCGACCACCAATCAACCCTGCGCTGCTTCCGGCTTTGCCAGCGCCGTTGCAGCCTTCTCCGATGGTCGCGTTTGCGTCTGCGGTAGGTAACGTGGCAAATGGAACGATTAGTTCACCTATCGCGCCT